ATGAGTTAATGTTAAAAAAAATTGTCTTTCTTATATATGTCAAAGTATTTATAAGTGAAGACATTTAGACCTATAGTTTTCTGTTTTTTGTTTTTTGGTGGAAAGTTTTATTGGTCAGGTATCAGTTAGAAAAGAAGAAATACTTGGCATTTGAACAGACAGAACTTAGTATAAGAATTAACCAAGTATATAGATGTTAATTAAGTGTTTGAAAGTATAAAAAGAAAACTCTAAATTATCTGGGAATTAGCAACTATAGGAAGAAAATACTAGCTCTAGGGCTGAGGAAACAAAGGAAAGACCCATTGGAATTACTTAAATTTCTCGATTTAGAAAAGGGATCCTATGGAGCTGAAACTCAGACCTCTTGGAAAGAGATCTTGGCTACTAATTGTTTCTCTGAACTCAGAGTAGAAGCACCATAGGTCTGTGACCCTGAAATTTGAAGACATGGCAGCAGCATGCTGGTGCTGTTCTCTCTCTAAGAGAGCACAATGAGAGTAGTTCTACAGCTGCAAGAAGATCTATAGCCTGGATTAAGCTCCTGCCATAGGGACAAACTATTTCTGTAAGTAGTAGGCACAGCAAGCAGACTCAAACAGGAAAGAGTAAGCCCCTTCCTCCTGCTTTAACCTTGCAGTCTCCTTGTAGCATGCCTTATTATCAAAGCATAACATGGAGCCAGATAGGAAACAAGTATGTGGTTTGCTGAGTCTCAGCCTCAGAAAACTGACTAAAGAAGAGTGATTTTTGAACAGAGATACAATAATTGGTACAGCAACTGTTTGAATTGTAATTTTAATTTGTTTAATAGTTATAGGACTACTAAGATATTCTTGCTTCATTAGCTAGTTTTTTGGTAGTTATTTTCCTATTTCATGTTTAATATAAAATAATAGCATTAAAATTTTGGCATGGAAGTTGTATAAAATGTCATTGCAATATTTTAAAGATTGTAGCATCTATAGAATAGTATTCTTATTCCTGGAATTGGTTATTTGTCTCTTTTTTCTTTCCTCCTTGATCAGTCTTACTCATGTAGTATCAATTTTGTCAGTCTTTTGAAATAATCATTTTTTGTTTTGTTGATTTTTTAAGTTTTAAAATAAAAAATAATTTATGCTCTTATCTAATTCTACTTTTTGTAGGTTAATTTTCTTGAAATTTATGTTATTGATACACAGCTTTTCTTTTAATAAATATATCCATATATAAGTAATAATGCCCCTGCAAGTATGACTGTAGCAGCGTACCATAAATACTATATTTATTATATTTTCAGTATCATTCAGTTCAAATTTTAAAATTTTAAAATTCCATTGTGATTCTTTTTGAAAAGTGAATTACTTAGAAATAGTGTTCAAAAGCAGCCAAGCCAAGAGAAAAATCAGAAAGCCAATTTCATTCACAATTGCCACAAAAAGAATAAAGTACCTAAGAATACAGCTAACCAGTAAGGCAAATGAGCTTTACAATGAGAATTACAAAACACTGCTCAAAGAAATCAGAGATGACACAAACACATGGAAAAACATTTTGGGCTTATGGATAAGAATCGATATTATTAAAATAGCCATATTCTCCAAAACAGTTTATAGATTTAATGCTATTCTATCAAACTACCAATGTCATTCTTCACAGAATTAGAGAAAACAATCTTAAAATTCATATGGAACCAAAAAAGCACTAAACAGCCAAGGCAATCCTAAGCAAAAAGAACAAAGCTGGAGGCATCATGTTACCCAACTTCAAACTATGCTACAGGGCTACAGTACCCCAAACAGCATAGTACTTGTGCAGAAACAGGCACATAGACCAATGGAACAGAGTAGAGAGCCCAGAAATAACACACACCTACAACCATCTGGTCTTTGACAAAAATGACAAAAACAAGCAATGGGGAAAGGATTCCCTATTTAATAAATGGTACCAGGATAACTGGCTAGCCACATGCAGAGGATTGAAACTGGATCCCCTTCCTTACAGTATATATTTAAAAAAAAAAAAAAAAAACTCAAAGACTTAAATGTAAAACCCAAAACTATAAAAACCCAGGAAGATAACCTAGACAATACCATTCTAGACATAGGAATTGCCAAATATTTCATAAGGGATAAGCCAAAAGCAATTGCAACAAAAGCAAAAATTGACGAATGTGATCAAAATAAACTTAAGAGCTTCTGCACAGCAAAAGAAACTATCAGCAGAATAAACAGGCAACATACAGAACGGGAGAAAATATTTGCAAACTATACATCTGACAAAGGCCTACTATCTAGCATTTACAAGGAACTTAGGTAAATTTATAAAAAAGAACAACTCCATTTAAAAGTGGGCAAAGGACACAGACACTTTTCAAAAGAAGACATATATGTGGCCAACAATCATAAGAAAAAAGCTCAATATCACTGATCATTAGAGAAATGCAAATCTAAATCACAATGAGATACCATCTCACACCAGTCAGAATATCTATTATTAAAAAGTCCAAAAATAACAGATGGTGGTAAGATTGCAGAGAAAAGGAAACACTTATACACTGTTGGTGGGAGTGCAAAGTAGTTCAACCATTGTGGAAAGTTGTGTGGTGATACCTCAAAGAGCTAAATACAAAACTACCATTCAACTCATCAATTCCATTATTGGATATATACACAGAGGGATATAAATCATTCCACCCTAAAGACACATGCACGTGAATGCTCACTGCAGCACTATTCACAATAGCAAAGACTTGGAGTCAACTTAATTACCCATCAATGACAGATTTGAGAAAGAAAATGGGGACATATACACCATGGAATATTATTATGCAGCCATAAGAAAGAACAAGATCATGACTTTTGCAGGAACATGGATGGAGCTGGAGACTATTATCCTTAGCAAACTTCAGCAGGAACAGAAAACCAAATACTGCGTGTTCTCACTGATAAGTGGAAGCTAAATAATAAGAACTCATGGACACAAAAAAGGGAATGGACACTGGGTCCTACATGACAGTGGAGGGTGTGAAGAGGGAGGGAGAAAGGTAGAAAAAGTAACTATAGAGTACTAAGCTTAGTACTTGGATCACGAAATAATCTGTAAAACAAACCCCTGCGACACGAGTTTATCTATAAAACAAATCTGCACATGTACCCCTTAACCTAAAAGTTAAAAAAAGAGAAATGATTTGTATTGAATTGCTGATGGATTAAATCAAATTCATATGCTTAGAAACTAGATGGGCAATAGGACCTCATTTTGTAGCCTACAAAAACAAATTATATGGTCTAGCAAGGGCTCCATCAAGATGCCCTGCTGTTATATTCTGTCCATAGGAAGGCAAGAAAGCAAGTTAAATGCAGACTTCAAATCACTTTTGAAGTAATGGTGATTCCTAGCACTGAAGAGTTATATCAATAAGCACAGTTGAGATAATTTCATCTAAAAATATTCAAGGAAGTCAATGTATATCCCTGTACAGGTCTGTAGATGGAAATGAGTGATACTTCCATGATCTGGTTTAGAGAACCTGTGATTATGCTTTTTAAAAGATCTTTGTTAGATCAGTTATATCGTCATTGTGAGTCCTTTAATTTATTGGCACAGAGATGACTAGTTTGTCATTATTAAGTTGTTAGGTGTTTATATAGAGATGAGAATCAAAAAGTTAAGATGTTCCACTATGCATGGAATAAATTAGAAATTAAGATATTATCATATGTGTAGATATCATTTTATCCAGCAAAGGATATACATCATCTAAAGGTATGAAATATGCATTAATATATAAGCGATTTTAAAATATCATACTATGTTATGGAACTGTCCTTGCCCATTCTAACTCTCAAATAAAACAAACTATATGCATATTTCTTCTCTCTATATTTTACTATATTCATATGTATTAAATGTATTTTATACACATGTGTATATATATAAAATTACACACACGTGTAGTTTTTGGAAGGGAATGTCAGGTGAAGTATCCTTGGAAAGCAGACTATTTATTAGGTATATAGCCCAGAACTACATAGCTCATCTGAACTTTGCAGTGAATGATGGGTAATTGTATTGTGTTGCTTTTATTGGTTTCCCTTTGGCATTCTTCTCATCAGTACAAATTTCTTTATTTTTGAAATAATACAACCTTCTTCTCCATGCTCACAGCTATCTTATTTCTTCAGGTAAAGTAAAACTACAATTATAAAACTCATTTCTTAACTGAAATAAGAATGTTTCAAAGGATTGCAACACTTCCCTCTGTGTGTTTAAGGGAAAAAAATTTTCAAGGACAACTACATTTACATTAATTAACAATTAAGACTTGAAAACCTATATTTTTTTCCTTGTAAATTTGTTAAATTTCCTTATAGGTGCTGAATATTAGACCTTTTGTTGGGTGCATAGTTTACAAAAATTTCTCCCATTCTGTAGGTTGCCTGTTTATTCTGTTGATAGTTTCTTTTGCTGTGTGGAAGCTCTTTAGTTTAATTAGATCTCATTTGTCAATTTTTGCTTTTGTTGCAATTTGTTTTTGTGTCTTCGTCATGAAATGTCTGTTTGTGTCTATATCCTGAATAGTGTTGCTTAAGACATTAACCTGTCTTTTCAAAAGAAGGCATACATGTAGCCAACAATCATATGAAAAAGTCAACATCACTGATCATTAGAAAAATGCAAATCAAAGTCATAATGAGATACCATCTTACACCAGTCAGAATGGCTATTATTAAAAGATCAAAACACAGTAGTTGCTGGCAAGGTTATGGAGTAAAAGGAACACTTACACACTATTGGTGGGAAAGTAAAGTAGTTCAACCATTGAGGAAGACAGTGTGATGATTTTTAAAGACATAAAGACAAAACTACCACTTGACCCAGCAATCCCATTACTGGGTATATACCCAAAGGAATATAAATTATTCTATTATAAAGATACAGGCATGTGCTTGTTCATTGCAGCACCATTCACAATAGCAAAGACACAGAATCAACCTGAATGCCCATCAGTGTTAGACTGGATTAAAAAATGTCGTACATTTACACTATGGAATCCTTTGCCATCATAAAAATAGCTGGAGGTTATTATCCTTAGCAAACTAACTCAGGTATAGAAAACCAAATACTACAAGTTCTCACTTATAAGCGGAAGGTAAATGATGGGAACACATAGATACATAGAGGAGAACAGCAGTCACTGGGGCCTACTGAAGGGTGGAGGCAAGGAGGAGCCAATCAGGAAAATAACTAATGGATACTAGGTTAAATACCCGGGTGATGATAGAATCTGTACAACAAACCCCATGACACAAGTTTACCTATGAAACAAACCTACACAGGTACCCCTGAACTTTAAAAAGGACTTGAAAACTTTATGATGTCATAAAGAATCGGGCAATATTATGATTTGATCCATTTATCATTTTGTTTTCTAAGTAGTTGCAGAACAATCAAGTATCATTAGCACCCTCTCTAGCTAAGTTAGAATTTGAATAGATATATCATGTATTTTTAAAAATAGAAATAGTGATAACTAATTCAAAGTGATTTTATAAGTAATGCATAATCTAGGTAAAAAAGCTTGCACAGTATTGAGAACATAGGTACTGTTTAATAAATTATGGAAATTATTTTTACAATTATTTCTATCATCTGATAATTTTTGAACATATACAAATAAATATTTAGGTACAATTATTTTGTTCAGCTGGTAAGAATCTAAATGTTAGATTCATAAACATATTTTCATGATGGAAAAACAAAGCATCTGGACTAATAGCTTACAGATATGAATCAATTCAGATATGCATAATTCAGTTTACAGTTTAAAATGTGGTCAAACGAGTGCATACAGTGAATTTTCTGATTCATATCTAATAATTATCTCTTAAATGCACATGCTGATTTAACAGTCTCTTTATGGCATTCTTAATCTCTTTATTTCTCAGTGTATAAATGGCTGGATTCAGGAGAGGTGTGATTACAGTGTAAAACACTGCAAGAAACTTGTCCACCCAAGTGATGCTGAGTGGCCACAGGTAGATAAAGATGCAGGGTCCAAAGAACAGCACCACCACTGTGATGTGGGAAGTACAGGTAGAGAGTGCCTTTGATGCCCCATCTTTAGAGTGCAGGCGCAGACTTAATAAGATATAGGTGTAGGAAATCAGCAAGAGAATGAAGCAGCTTGTTGCCAAAGTCCCACTGTCAGCATTTATCACTGTTCCCAAAGTATGAGTATCCATGCAGGCTAACTTGATCACCAAAGGTATATCACAGAAAAAGCTATCTACTACTCTGGGTCCACAGAAGGGAAGATCCAAAATCATTGCCAGTTGGCTTATGGCATGCACAAAGCCAATGATCCATGATATCAAAACTAACCAGATGCACTTTTTTCTGTCCATGATGCTGGAGTAATGGAGTGGCTTGCAGATGGCCACATAACGGTCATAGGCCATTGTCACGAGAAGCACCATCTCACCCCCTCCAAAGAAATGCACGCAGAGGATCTGACTCATGCAGCCTGCAAAGGAAATTGTCTTATTTTCCTTTAAAAAGTCTGTGGTTAATTTAGGGGTGGTTACTGAGGAAAGGCAACAATCAACAAATGAAAGGTTGGCTAAGAGAAAGTACATGGGGGAATGGAGACGGAGATCAGTGATGATGAGTAGCACAACAAAGAGGTTACCCACAACCGTCATCAGGTAGAGTACAGAAAATGGCAGAAAGAGGAGTGTCTGGAACTCCCTTGAATCACAGAGTCCCTGAAACATAAACTCAGACATGGCAGACTGGTTTGCTTCTTCCATTTAGTACAGTAGGTTTTAATGGGACCTAAAGAAAAAGATATGAACTAAGAACTTCTAGAATAGAAAGACCTTAGTGTCAGGTACTAGTGAGTAGATCAATATGTCTCATTTACAAAACTGAAATCTTAGCACTGTACTAAACTCAAAATTGAAAACAAATGTTTCTTGAATTTAGACGTGTGTACAGCCTTATGACTAAGAAGGGGAACTAACTAGGTGTATCTGGGTAGGTCAAAAACTTTACACATTAGAAGTACAGTTCTTATAGGTATCAAAAAGAAATTATCTGGCAAAAAATATCAGTAGTAAATGTTCTTTATAAATAATTTCTTCAAGCTTTGAGTCTACCTCTCCTTCAGGGAATCAGAAAGACTTGTCTTCAGTGCATAGCTCTAAAATAAAGCTACTTGGAGATTCTTTATTTTACTAGGATAAAACCAGGGCAAGAAACTAAAGCTACGCTTATGGTAAAAACACATACTTCTCAGAAATGAATTTATTGCTAAGTGCATATGTATGTGCACGCTGAATTAAACCAGTCTTGACAAACTGTAGGAAAAACTGTAACAAATGACTTGAGAAATGACATTTATGTTCCAAAAGAGACCTCAGGTGTTGACTATACATTTATAGCATTATATATTTCCTTGCATTTTGAATTTCCCCATGAGAAGTTACTTCTGCAAAATTAGATCATTTTTGGCCTGAGTAATGCCACTTATTTTTGTACATTGTACATTTTGTACATGGACTCTCACTGGTAAGAGAGATTAATTTTTTAAGATTAACTTAAATGATGGATATGTGAAAGCTACTTTTAGTCTTGACTGCCCTTCATGAGAGAAAATATAAAATATAAGTTTATGTATATTTAAACTATCCATCTGTATAACTTAAATTGATGTCTGTGGAAATATTCATATTTTCCAAAAGGCAGAAATCGAAGTCCTTTTTTCCATTTAATTCCTCTATCCCTCCCTTCTTTCCTCTCTCTTGTCTTGGCCCCTCTCTCTTTTCCTCTTTTTATCCTTTCATCCTTTCTTCTTTTCTCTCTTTCTTTGTCATTTATTATCTCCTTCTCTCTACTTTTTCCTTTACCTTTTTCAGGCTGAAAACCGGATAACTAAAAGTTGACCCATTAGCACATTTTATATATCACACGATATGTACACACATATTGTCTCTTAAGCACTTTACAAACATTATATTTCAATACACATAACTTTTGTTGTCATTTTCCAGATGGGAAAGCTTGATTTCTCCAAGTCATGCAGATAGAAAGTAGCAAACCTGCAATATAGGCTGAGGTCTGTTTGACTCCAAGGCATCCAATATAACTACCTACTAGAAATAGCTTTCTGATAGGAATCTTGATTTTGAGAAGATTAAGAAAATTAACCAGATTTGTGAAATACGGCAATTTGTCCTATGAAGAAGTAATCCAGATAAATGTGAACGGTCAATAAAAAGAGGAAACAAGTTTATGTTTCTATTTAAATCATTCCTATGTCATTGTTTGTCTTCAAACTGGACTGTACTTCACCCTGTAGATGTGACTGAGTTTTTCTGCATTTTTTATATTTGTCAAATGATAGAACAGCCAAAATCCCCCCAAAATTAAAAAGTACCAGGGTAAGTTGAATAGCCTGTACAAACCATTCTTCCCAAACCTGGGTATTTGGGAATTTCTGAGATTGTTAAAAGATTGTGCTTTTAATTAATGTTTGAGACTCTGCTGTAGGAATCCTAGGCATTAATCGGGTGGGAAAGAGCCTATAATAGTTTCAGTAAGCTCATCAACTAAATAACAGCGTACTAAGATTCATATGGTAGTATGGAAAAATGCTATAGAAAACAACAACAAAAAAAGTTTTAAATTAGTGGATGAAATGAAGTAAAAGTTCAAAAATAATGGAGCTTGTGATACCCTTACCATCTAGGAATCACCTCTGCAACAAGATCCTTCTTGACTGATCAAGCTTACCCAAGATTCTATCCTAAGTTTGAAATGAAGTCCAACTTATTTTCTGCAGTAACCAATGTTGGCGACAGTGTGTTCACCTCAGTCTGGCATATATACACTGTAAAGAGTAGTCTCTGGGGTGGAAACTTTCCAACTCTGTGTTTTAGACCGAGCCAAGTATTTGGGAAGACTTTTGCTTTCCTCAGGGATCCTTAGCTTCCAACTTTCCCTGGATTGAAGGCATTGTGTAACACCGAACCTTTTCAATACTAGGTTTGGGTTAGAACAGTTAAATATAACTAAAATTTAAGATTAGGAAGTTTAAAGATAAGTGTTGGCCATGGGGTGAAGAAATTGGACCCCTTGTACATTGATGGTAGCACTGTAGAGTGGTACAGTAACTAGAGAAAACAGTGTGAAATTTCCTCAAAACTATGAAATTACTCCACCACTGGATATATAGCTGAAGGAAATAATATATCTAAGACATATCTACACTCCCATGTTCATTGCAGAATTATTCACAATAGCCAAGGTATGAAAACTACCCAAGTGTCCATGGACCAGATGAATCAATTAGAAATGTATATATATACACAATGGAGTGTTTTTCCACCTTAAGAAGAAACAAAATGTTGCCATTTGCAACAACATGAGTGAAACTTAAGGTCATTATAAGGAGTGAAAAGAGCCAGTCATAGTAAGACAAATACTGCATGATTCTACTTATATGAGATATCTAAAATAGTAAAACTCATAGAAGCAGAGAATACGGTAGTGGTTTCCAGAGGTTGGGGAAGTGGCAGAATAGGGAGGTATTTGATGGGTATAAAGACTAAATTGAATAAGTTCTAGAGATATGCTGTATAACAAAGTGCCTACAGTTAACCACATGGTATTGCACACTTCAAAATCTGTTCAGAGGGTAGATCTCATGTTAAGTGTTTCTACAAAAACAAAAGGAATAATAAACTCCCCAAACCCAAGAAAGCACACACACAAGCAAAGACAAAGAGACACAAGGAAACTTTGGGGGCGCTGGATAGATTATTGTTTTGATTATGGTGATGATATTATAGGCATTTGCATTTGTCCGAACTCATCAAAATGTATGCTTTAAATATATACAGCATTTGAACATCAATTAAAACTGAATAAATCTGTTAAGGTAAAATGGTTCTATTATTCCGTTCATTAGAAGGATACGACACTCTTCTGTTTGGCCCTAATCTGCCATGTCATAAAACTGAAATAAGAAAGTTCCAGTTCCAGCAGAAGTAGATGAGTTAGGTGGATGGGAAGGTGACAGCCAGCTCATCATTGGCACTTCTGCACGGTGCTCATGACTTAAGGGCCTACATGAACTTCTGTTTCTTTTTTGATGTCAAGACTTAAATAATTTAGGTCTCATTATTTTCAGGGCTTCTTTGAGTGGAGCTCTGAAAATTAGCAATTTGAGCATAAAACCAGATGATGAACATTTTCTAAGTGATAATTCACAACTTTATTAAAGAAATAAGATATTAATACATTCTAATTTAATGATTCAAGCAATTCATTAGGTAGGAGAAAATATTGAAAGCCTCTTTGTCTCTCCTCCTCACTCTTTTCCACTCTTGGATATAACAACTGCCATGCTTGGAATGCATCCTTCTGTTACTGTTTGTATCAGTAGTGAAAGCGTACATACCAACAAATAGCAGTGGTGATTTTTCTTTCTCCTCTTTTTTTGTTTGATATATTTAATTAATTACATCTGAAAAGCTATGCTTATTAAGTCCTCATTTGTCTTCTGTATCTTTCCCTTACTGCCTTACTGTCCCTATCCACCCAACCTCCTTCACTCGATTTCTCTCCCTCCCTCCCAGTCTTTTGTTTATCCCTTTCATTTCCAGGTCTCAAATCATGTAAATGAACTTGCTCTACCAACCATTATGTGACCTAAGATCTAGAAATCATAATCATCCTAGTCAGAGAACATAAAGAGTCAATGATTATTCACTTGCTGGTATACTCTAAAACACCTTCCAGTACTATCTCATTTAATCATGATAACATGTAGACTCATTTGCAGATGAGAAAGCAGGATAAAAGAGGCTGGGTGTTGTCCATGGCACACTGTTACTAAGTGAGGGAAAGAATGCTGGTTTCCACAAGAGCTGGAGGGAGCACATGAATTCTATGAATCTTAACACAATACAACTTTCTTAATGCAATAAATTAATTTCATTTTATGTTTGATAATTTCTAATTTAATACTTGTTCATTTTTATTAAGGTATAATGTACATGTAATAAAATTAAAGCTTTTCAGTGTATAAGTTCTGCAGTTACACATAGACTTTTAGGTAAACATCATATCATCAGAGTATGCAATAACCTTATTACACCCGAAATTTTCCTAAATCTCCTGTGGTTCTTTGTGCTTGACCCACCACCATATCCCTGACTTAGGCAAGCACTGATCTGTTTTATATTCCTGTAAGTTTGCCTTTCCTCTTTTTGAAATTTTATTTTTATTGTATATTTTAAGGTGTACAATAAAATATTTATGTATAGTGAAATGATTGCTATAGTCAAACCAGTTAACATATCTGTCACCTTACATCGATACCTTTTTATAGTAGGAGCACTTAAAATTTTTTCTTAGCAGGTTTTCAGTATGCAATACATATTATTAACTATAGTCCTCATGTAGTACATCTCTAGATTGATTCATCTTACCGACAAATTTGTGATCTTTGACCTACTTTTCCCTGTTTCCTTCTTCTCCCACCCTGTGATAACCACATTTCTACTCTGTTTCTATTTATTCAGCTTTTCTGGGGGGAGGGAGGAGGTTCACATGTAAATGAGATCATACAGTGATTTTCTTTCTGTATCTGGCTGATTTCATTTAGCATAATATCCTCAAGGTTCATCCATGTTGTCACAAATGACAGTATATTCTTTCTTTTGAAATGAGATAGTATTCACATCTATAAAGGAATTAATTAAAAGATAGATAGATGGCACAATGTCTTTATCCATTGGTCCACTGATAGACCCTTAGGTTCTTTCTTTGTCATGGCTACTGTGAATAATGCTGCAATGAACATGGGATGGGATTGCAGACATTTCTATGAGGTGCTGATTTCACTTGTTTGGGTATATATTCAGCAGAAGAATTGCTGAGTCATATGATAGTTCTATTTTTAATATTTTGAGAATCCTTCATACTGTTTTCCATCATGGTT